GGTGAGGGCAAACTATACATCATTTCATGGTTTTATTTAAATTTACTTACTTTTTCGATTGAAACCAAATGTATTGTTGGTGCATGCATAACAATTTTAAACTTCGTGTTTTCCCGGATTTGTCCAAATCACTGGTAAACCGAATGGTAACGAAAATCGTTTTTTGTCCACCAAAAATTCATCGCACTAATGCACGAAATACATGTGAATTCGGGAGTGTATTTATTTTGTGCAGGTTCAAATTGCAAAAAGTACCATTTATAGCATGCTAACATGCTTTTTAATTTTTTTCATCCTTAGGAGTTTCCGAAGACAATGATATGGTGAATAAGTTTTTCGCAAAATTTTCGATGTTTTTTATCAATTAATATGACAGTAATCGCGCGCGTAGATTTTCGGTTTGTGTTTTTTGGTTCCCAACTTACGTGAAATAGACGCGGTATAGATCGCCGCCTATTTGAAAGCATTACTCAGTCACTTTGACTTTAACGAACAACAGCTTTTACAGTACAAAAAAGGTGTTAAAAAACCATTCGTACCAAAGAAACTGCAAAAATATGCTAGAGTGGGATTGAAAGGAACACAAATTCAGGTCCAAGCAGTGTATAAACTACTATTATAAAAAAATATTACGAAATAAAATATGAGTTGTAACGCAAAACCACATATCTGAACAATCAGTTGTATGGGAGCTATATGTTATAGTGAACCGATTTCCATGATTTTCAGAAATAGCTAAGGTAATATCAAAATACAGTCACGTGCAAAATTTTAGTAAAATATCCTTAAAACTGAGGTAATTATTAACAAAAAACCTAAAATTTAAGCAGATATTCAAGCACCGTTATCTCGAAAACTAGAGCCAATCTGGAAAAACGGAGGACGCTATTGAATTTAAAGGATCCCAGTTAAGTAAGATCAGTTATAAAAACCTTTGCCCAGAAAAAAATTCAAAACCTGAGCACAGTGTTTTAAACGAAGAAAAATTCACTTTCAGAACTCTAAAGCTTCCCCCATAAATATCTCAAAATTTTGACGTGGTACGGATTTTCTCAAAACGCCATCGTAATCTAGAGGCCAAAATTAAGTTTACGTATTTGGCCGCTTAGCTGTGATATGTTTGCCTCCCTACTGTGTAATGGATTCAACAATTACAACTAGCCCAGTAAAATTAGACTTTTTCTTAAAAAAAAATTTGTAACAGCAATTGTTTATGCAGTTTACTTCAATTTGACATGTAGATCATGGCTCCACAGTCTTGCCACCAAATTTCGTTTGGAAACATTCCGCCATCTCTGAATATTTTTTTTTTTAGGTTTTTTGCGATTTGTCAGTTTATTTTGCATTTTTCGTAAAAAATGGTTAAATACAAATATGTAGAGAATTTAATTTCCCACACTTGTTGTATAGAAGGCTTTTTAAAAATAGCATTTTTTATTCTAAAAAATTAGCAAAACTGCGAAAAAATTTTAAACTCTCACGGTTCGTAAATTAGTTTTTTCACAATATTCAAAATATCAAACCATTTTCGTTTAAAATATAGCTCATTCTATAATAAAAACCATATAAATCATTCTTGCAACTTAGTACAGAATTCATAAAAATGAATCAAAGTTAAAAAAATTTCCATCAAAATTTCAAACTTTTTATTCAGAATTTTTAGAAAAATTTTCGGTATCCAGTTTTGTAGTATAATAAGTGCAAGTTTCAAAATGACTGCTGTTTTTTTAGAATTTTTTTTGTCTATGGTGTTGCGCATTTTCTTCCATATAAAAATAGATTTTGTTCATGCCTTATATGGAAACAAATGTGTAACACCCTCGACAAAAAAAATTCTAAAAAATCAGCGGTAAGTTTTAGCTACATGAAACTTGCACTTTATTATACTAAAACTGAACGGGCTAGAAAACTGCTTATCGACCTTTTTTCTAAAAATTCTGAATAAATATTTTGAAATTTTGATGGAAATGTTTTTAAGTTTGACTCATTTTTATGAATTTTGTACAAAGTTTTCAAAAATTATTTATATGGTTTTTGTTATAGAATGAGCTATATTTTAAATGAAAATTAACGAAAAAGATTTATGATGGAAAACATTTGGAATATTGTGAAAAAACTAAATTACGAATACTTCTGTGAGTGACTGTATATATACTTCATAATAAATTTGTGCCAAACGGACCTCAGAATCGGGTTCAGCGGGTCGAATTACATGTCGGCACGTGGGTCTGGTTAAAAGCACACACCACTTTTTTTGTGTGCTATGTATACTATGTACTTAAATATCTATATACGAGCTATTATTCTGATATTTTTGTTTACCTGGAAATCTTATTTTAAGTATAAAAACCAGCAAAAAAATTTATTTACTTAATTGGTAGGAAAGAAGCTATTTTGGTAGGTTTTTGAACCAGCTCTTGGTAAGAAATAAAGTTTATCAGTGGTAACCCTGATCGTTAGTGTCAGTGGAAACCATTTGCCTCCAGTGTATGTATGTGTTTCCTCGTATACGATTCAACGAAAGGTTCACGAATGGTTGTTTCCTGGGGTCGTTGGCCCTGCACTCTAAATCTGGTGGGATGACAACAGAATTATTCATCGACGTAGTCAAACATATACAATGTAACACTAATTGTGTGTTTATGTATATTTGCTGTTGAAATAAATATTTATATTTTATGTTTTATGAGATACCGTCTTGTTTTTTTTTAAGTTTATGAATGTATAAAATCTTAATATGTAGGTAAAATTGTGATGGTCAAACTCGCCCCTTTACAAGTTAAGGATGCCCCTTCCATGGGACAAATTTGACAAATTGATTTTTTTAAATGGCTGAATAACGTATATACGCGCTTATTTATAGCTTACTTGTTACTCGATTACTGAGATCAATAACGAATAGTTGCGACCAATTAATAAAATCAAAACTTTTTCTAAAAAGTATCCGAGAAATATGACCTCGTAAAAAAGGTGTCAAATCTTCCCCACTTTACCCTACATACATTTCGTTTTTGCTTGAGAAACTCGAAAAACAAGAATTTCAACTGTTTCAAGAAAGAGCACAAAGTACCACAACCCACGACATTTATCCGTATGTATTTTCTACAGATATGTACTATTTTAAAGACGAATTTTCGGCTCATCAAATTAGTTTAGTTTTTCGCGCAAGAAGTGGGCTACTGAACATAAATGCGAGAACATTCAAGAGCGTCGCATCCGCAGCTTGTCCAGTTTGTAACTTGGGGGAGTCAGAAAATACACTCCACGTTCTTGGTACATGTCCAATCTATAAAAACATACGCTTACGCTGCTTTGAGGGGACGGTTTTGAATCTGGCTAAAGTAATAAACATTTTAAATGGCTGTGATTACCGAACTTTCTACACTTAGGCTGCGTTTCTTCAAACTCATTTAAGTGGAAATTAACTTTAATTTAATTTTTTATTTAATTCTCATTTAAATTATTTTCAGTTTCAATAAGCTCTTTATTTAAGTGAGTAAAAAGTGGTTGTAAAACTGACTTGGCCAGCGAAAGCTTTCATTTGTACTGAGAGCTTTTGAAAGCTCTGGCACGCTGTGTTGTAAAAGCAGGGCTGGTATACAAGTAAGTAACAGATACACACAATTGTGGTGTGTGTATGTTGATCAGCTAATTAAACGTGTAACATCTCTGAGTGTGGTTATTCTGATTTAATATTCATTTAAGTGAAGAGCATATGTCACTTAAATCAAAATTAAAAACAAATTAAAATAGATTGGCTAAACCAAAATTTCGAAAATTAAAGTAATTTTCACTTAAATGAATCTGGTGAAACGCAGCCTTACTTACCATACTGTTTAAAGTTTAGGGAGTTAATTTTAACGGAATTCTCATAAAACACACTAAATTGTTGTTTCTTTTCTTCTTCCTAGTTTTTAAGTTCCCAGTATAAATTCCCGACTATCGACCTATTAGTCACAGCCGTATGTTCGAATTTGTCATCTGTCTATAAATATTAAACATTGATTGTATCTGAAATAATAAAAATGAAGAACATTTGACTACTACTACTAAAATTGGATGGGCTACAAAGCTGCATAATCAAAATATTTCTAAAAAATCGAGTTTAAAAGATCGAAATTTTTACGAAAGTTTGCTGATTTTTTTCAAATGTTGCACTAAGATTCAAACTTGGATTGATATGGTTTTTGTTAAAAGATATACTATAATTTTATAAACAACTAATTAAAATTAAAAAATATTAAGACAAATGATAAAATGTTGTCAATATTTGAGTGTCGTATAGTTATGACAAGGACTATACATTCAAAGTATCTACATACATACCATTGTTTTAATTTTTCAAGTTGACGTAGAGATTTACATGATTTCTTGTTCTATAAATAATATTGTGCAAGCCTAAAAATGGGATTATGATTCAAGATTAAAAAAAATATACAAAAATTTAAAAATTTGTTTTCAAATTTCTCATTTGAGGTAATATATTTTAAGCGAAATTTTACTTTTTCGAGCTCTGGGGGGTCGATCGCTCCCTCCCCCTGTTGCCGCCACTGCTCCCATTATAAAAATTATCACATATTTTGTTCTAGTGAGATTTTGGTAGCGGTAAGTTCTACATATGTATGTACTCAACTCAAATTTATATTTTTTGGATTATGACACTACTGAAGTAAATGAACGACCTGTAAATAGTGCCACCCTGAGGATTAAACCATTTGGGCATAGTTTTGTTGAAGTCCTTGTTATTTATTAGAAAAAGCGCTTACCACGCTTATTCTCCACACAATTTCCCAACTTTCCGTAGTCGCGTAAATGGAATTTTACTTGCCTTTCGACTAGCCCCTCAGTATTCGAAAAGATTGACACCATGAACAAATTTTAGTTTCCTAATTTCACTGTACTAATGGGGAACTAAAAAGGTGGAATTTGTTTAAGGGGAATGTATGTATTTACATATATCAGTGTATTTAAAAAGTAAGGATTTATCACCTTTTTTTGGATCCTTGCCCCCTTTCATGCGCTTGCGTGCCAGTAAAGCTCGCATCATTGATTGTACCTTAATAACCTTTTTTACTTGGACTTCATATAATCTAAAAAAAACATGTTTATAATTAAAAATCAATAAAACAGCTTAAAATATTTTACCTGGCCAAGAACTCATCATTATAATAGCGTAGAAATACTTTGGTTTTTCCAATGGCCCAGCCTTCCATCTTTAAACGTATCAGCAAAAGGCGACAATTCTCCTTGGTGATATCCACGGTTTCGTCAAAATCGAAGGCTAGAAATTGATATCTGCATAAAACAAAAAATACTGTGCTTAGTTACATTTTACATATTACATTAGTCCAAAAATTTCTTATAAAACAGTTGCAAAGTAATTACTAAAGCAAACAAATACGCCGCAAGATTTTAAGCGTTAAAAATTCATATCAAAATATATTCGAAAAAGTATACAGTAAATGCGGGAAATACCATTTAAACCAGGTGATATCTACCAAATCGGATCCATTACACCATTAGTTGTAACAATCGGATACTGTTTACTTGATGTTTTGATAATCAATTACCAAAAACAATGAATTCTAATCTATGCAGTATGACCTAAATGCCTGTTTTTCTAGCCAAAATTAACTTTTTACTTATTTTGTTGCTATATTTTAGGTAATGCGGTAAAACATAGGAAAGTTAAGTTTGTTTTTGTAAAAGCCATAATGTAGTAAACAAACAGCAGTCAAAGGCTACCTATTTTTCTACAATTGAAAATTCGATTGAGCTTAAGCCATAAAATGTAAAGTTTCATTGTTGTTATAAAAATTGTAGAACACATTTTTAAAAAAATTTTGGTAGGGAGACGAAAGCTACGAGTAAGTAGATTTAAATATGTGCGATAGCAAACTATTGCAATTTTGTTTTGGTGCTAAAATCTCATTTTTTGCAACCTAATAAATTACTAGGTTTTTTTTTTAATCTTTACTTCACAAATGCCTGTGAAATTTGGCAAGGTTTGGCAAAGATAAACTTATTAAGGCATAAAAGTACTATATATCTTGTGAGATCTTGTCACCATATTTTGTCTTCCGATTTTTACGATTTCTGAGAAAACGGCTATTTTCGTAGGTTATTTTGGCACTGTCGGAGGGGAGAACTCAATAAAAAGAGGAAACAACATGCTATATACAATTAACCTGCAGCAAAGGTTGCTCCTTTAAATTTTTCAGGTTTTAAATAATAATAATAAATCTATTTTGGCGTTTACAAAATATGTTAGTGTTTAGCCGAGCTTCTCCTCCAATTTGTGGCGTACGCCTTGATGTTGTCCCACAAAGGGGATGGACCTACAGTTTTACGCCGACTCCGAAAGGCGATGGTTTTTTATGAGAAGCTGTTTTCATGGCAGAAATACACTCGGAGGTTTGCCATTGTCTGCCGAGGGGCGACCGCTATTAGACAAAATTTTTTTTTGTGTTTCTTTTTTTTTTTTGATGTTAGCATTAGCATATAGCATAACTTTTTACGGTAAGTGGACCAGTGACCGAACTATTCGAAAAAATCGTATTTATGGTTCGATTTGCCTAGGGGCGACCGCTTTTAGACAAAGATTTTTATTTTCCTTTGTTTTTGATTTTAGTAAGAAACTGGGCTCGATTACTGGCCCCGCGTAATGGTAGTGCGCACTTCTAACCACTACACCACAGGTTTTAAATACAAACTAGTATCGCCCAGTTGTCGAAATTCGACCACTTCACTTTTTTAAACACTCTTTCATTTTCCTGTTAATTAATATAGAGGTAGTAATGCTTCATCTTGATGATGGTTTTGATGTCTATTAGAATTCGAAAATATGTATATGTAATAATATCTGGTCCGCGTACCTGACTAACGTTGTTAGATTGATATACATCTTGTTAAATAATGTAATAATTCTAAGCTAATCTATAAAATTTTTTTTTATCCAAATTAAAGAGAAACATATCGTCGGCTTAGAGTGTAAACCTGCTAAATCCGTTTTTTGGCAAAATTGACATTTTGATGCAGTTCGAAGGAGTAGGCGATTCCGCAGTTGGCAAGCAAAAAAATACGTCAATATAAAAATATAATTGTCAAAAATTGTTTGATGAGTAAAGCTGCTAACTACAATCAGTTCAAATTCAACTGCTAAATCCAACATATTGTGCTTCTGTCCCTCGATTATTGTTCTATCTTAGAGTATTACTTTATGCGTTTAAGCCAAGGTAATAGCCAGCTTTAATTTTTTATATCTCAAGGAAATTATTGTTACTTGTGGAACGAAACAGAAGGAAGATTAAATGCAGAAGAGTTTTCCATCGTGTGGGTAGATTTGATAGAAAGAAATATAGTACCAAATAATAGGTCCGGGGAGCCAATTACAGTAATTTTTTAAAGCGACGAATGCACATATCAAAACCGAAACAGTTAGGGAGTCCACAAGGTGTTGTATACTGTCGTACTGTTGTATGTCATAAACTTTAAACGGCTAAAACTATATTTAAGGAATTCGCAAGCTAACATACAAGTTTTATTGTGAAATTCCACACCACTAAAAAATAGTTGGTGGTGATTTCAAGTCCTCTAAACATTTATTTAGGCGTTAAAAACTTTACGACATACGACAATACGACACTTACGACACCTTGTGAACCACCCAAGTATTATGGCTAATGCTTTTTTATCCGCAGCTATAAATAACAACATCATTATTGAGCAAAAGTTTCTTGAAGTAGGCCATACCCAAATGGAAGCTGATTGTATCTATTCCACTATCGAACGAGCACTTAAGAAAAGATATATCCATGTTCCTGCAGAATACATTGAAGTATGTAGATCAGCTAGAAAAAATCCAAAACCATATGACGTAACTTATCTTAGTTACACGTTCTTTAAAAGCTTTAACACAGTTCAATTCTTTAATAGCATTCGTCCAGCAGCAAAGGTGCTGCTAAAGTAACTGATATACGAGCCCTACGGTATACACCAAGTGGCGACATACATTTCAAACTAAGATTCTCCAACGAATGGGAAGTAATACCGCAAAGAAAATCCCCAGTAGCTGTTTCCTTGCCGTTTTCTCACCTTCCGAATTTATACGAGAGTAGGCGTACGATTGCTCGCAGAAAGTATGAGATCTCCAGTATTTCAAACGATTACTTCCTGAAGATTACCACGCCTACTATAACAACTTACCTCATGATTGAATAATTTGTATCATACTTTCTGGCATTATTGAGTTCCTACTTAAACTATCTAATATGTGGACTTTGTACTATTAATTTGACAGAGGAATACTTCACGTATAGTTACTAATATATGTTTTATAAACTGCCTATATTTGTTGCAATAAACGGAAGAATAAATCTGTTATAATTTTTATAAATATATATACTAGCTATACCCTGCCACGCTTTGCTGTGGCATATTCCTGTTACATGGATGATAAATTATTAACGAAACAAAACATACGCTTCATATGAGTTTAATTTTGTAATAAGTACTTGTGTGCACACAATATTTGTCGTGTTTCCATTCTCTGCATTGATATCAAGGATATCTGGTTTGCCGACACGGGAACACGCAACATCTAAGAACCAATCCGCATCTCACCCTAAACCACACTTTTCCAAAGGATAACCTTGAGCATTAGTGATTGTGATTCCGAAGGTCAATCGAATTAGGAAATGAAATCTTTAAAATTGAAATGGTGTATCGGTCGGAATCATGGGAATTCTTCACCTTTGAAAGGCCACCACGTAAAAATCTTTACTTACACTACGTTCTTCATCAATTTCTTAACTGCGAGTCGCGTACCGTTGTGGAGTTTTAGTGATTAATATTCCGCAATGTGATAATTGGCATACCTATTTTCAATTCAGAATGTGGGGTCATCCCTGGAAGATCAATCGAGTTCAAAAATTATGTTGGATAACTAACTGATTCATCTTCTTCCACAATGGTGTTTATCGACGCATATGTTACTGTTTAAGCGACTTATGCATTTCCCGCTTAAATAAAGAACAACGAACACACAGACGCACTTGTTTTTAAAGGTACTTCGCTCGTGTTTAATTGGGTATGCATTTTTTATGCAATTCTCAAATATCTCTTCGCTGAACTTAGTGAAGTGATAAGTCGCTGGCATTTTCAGATACGGTCAACGCTAACCCAGCTTGGCTATCACACGGTGCTTTGAGCATCACCCACACTGCACTCCCGGAGTAATTTTTGGCATGGTATTAAGCTACTGCTTACAAACCACACTGGGGCTCTGCACGAATGCATCCCTGGATAAATCCCAGCTCATTGCCCAGCAGCCTAAGCCAGCTAGAGCATGACTCCTCCAATGGAGTCCCACAATGAATACACGGTGAAACGGTCACATCTTGCGCTACCGCTTCATCAGCCTGCCCGCATATCTCTCTCTCTCTCTCTTTCTCTCTCGCATATCAGGCATATTAAGTGCGTGGCTGACTTGATGTGCACCCATAAACCATACGGACTCATTGAGCTCGATACACAAACACCTACCTCCTCAACTACTTTAACTCGACCACAACTCTAAACCTGGACTCGAATCGTCACATACGATATCATATTACTCGTCACGTAAAAACAATTTTTTTAGATTATGACGTACGTGAACGTAGTCTTTGTCTCATTCAGCTTATACTGCCTGACGTATCACGTAATTTTCTTTCGTATGGTTTTCGATCGGTGAACGGATGTTACGATTTGAGTCCTGGTCTCCCGGTCTCCCTCAGCTAAACAGTTGTCACTTTGATTGCTGGATTGAATAACATTAGTGGTGTTCACCAAAGTGAGCAAGTGGCCTGGCAGTCTGGTAAAAGAGCAGACCAGCTCAAGCAACGACTGTTGTCAATACCACTCTTATTTAGTTGATAGACATCCTTATTCTTCGCAGCAAGAATAGCTCGTTCACTGAGCCTGTAATTAATTTTCTTAATTAAGAAACATTCTTTTCATCAGTTCTCCTTTCGATGTTCCTCAGTTACAAAAATTATCAGGCGATGCAATTCGTCTTAGTCTCTCGTTAGCTGGCAGCTTTCAGTTCCCAATGTCCAGTAGTTGTCGCGAAAATCCCTTGGCTGCAGTGTATATATGTATGTTCGTCTAGCCACAATGTTGACTATTGTTAATCAAGAAATTACAGACAATGTTTGCGTAAAATCTCCTGAGGCAATATCAATACATTCCCGAATGGTTGCACGTTTCCATGCAAAATCCCGCAACAATGGATCAAGGACCTCAAGCAATTTT